GTTTCTTCGGCTTCGATGCAGAGCGCATTTCTGGCTGGAGCGACCGCCTCCGTATCTCCAACGGCTCGTCGTCCTCGTCGCTCCTGCGCCGCGACTGCTCACGCCCCTTCCTTGTGACTTTCTCAACGTACTTGAGGTCTTCCTCGGACATCTTCTCCGACGGCACCTCGATGATGACGCCGTTGACCTTGTGCAAACGTAGCTTACCGTTTGAGAAGCCCAAGAATTGTGCGTCGACGCGGAACTGACCCGTCCGGTCGTGCCAAGTGCGCGTCTTGTCAGGATCAGGCATGTCCCTGTCCTCCGAGGTACGATCGCTCGATCGTCTGCTCGAGTCGCCGTTCGGTCGCCTCCCCTTGGACGACTCGCCGCGGTCGGTGGAATCACGCTCCTTCCTCTTCTTCGCCTCCGCGTCCGCCTTCGCGCGGGCCTCCTCCTCCAGCCTGAGACGCTCCTGTCGGTCTCGCTCGCGACGCCTCCTATCTGCTTCAGCGGCAGCTGCCGCTGCCTTCGCGCGCTGCTCCGCCTCTTTCTTGCGCTCACGCTCTTCACGCTCTTTCTCCTGGCGCTCGCTTTCCTCTTGTCGGCGCTGTTCTTCTCGGGCACTGCGTTCAGCTTCTGCGCGCTCCTCAGCTTCTTGCGTTGCATGTATCGCCACAGCGGCTTCCTCTTCCTGCGCCTGAGTGGCTTGCGTGCTCGCTCCGGGGTTGAGCAACTAAAGCACGGTCAATCAATCGATACAGAAGTTCGAAGACGACCAAGCCATACCTCGACATACTGCGCGGGCACAACACCCTCCGCACCGTGCACGTTCCGACACTTCCACCACTCCGCGCTGTCTTTCTCGATCACGACCAAGCTTTCGCCTTCTTGTACCGACAGCTCATCCTCGCCGTCGGCAGTGAAGTCATAGAGGACCACAGCGGGTTCGCCCTCCGGAACGTGCACCTCTTCCTCGCCGTCCTCAGATGGCTCACGGGGCGGAATAATCTCGGGCTCTTCGCTTTTGAAGTGCACGGCCTTCGCCGGGCTGCTGCGTCGAGGTGGTTCCTCCGGCGGGGTCAGGGAGGGAGCTGAAGCGGGCGGCGGAGTCGATGGTCCAGCCGTGCCTCTTGCTGCAGAGCGCGAGGATTCGAGCTTTGCAGTGATCGCCTCAGCGACGTCCTTGGAGCCGGCATTGAAATGCAGGTTGATAGGTTCGGATCCGCCGATGTCGATGTGAACGTGCTTGGATTTCTCCAGCTTCACATCCTGGATGTCCACACTCTGCCACTTCTGCACGGGGGTCTACGAACAGGAGCGTATAAGACACAAGTTGTATATCCCGCACAGATGATGATAAAAGGTTTACAAACCTTATCCGCTTCACTGGCAAAGAATATGGATCCATTGCCTACTCCGAGCGTCCCTTTCTTCTTCTTCCCCTTCTTGTCCACTTCTGACACGGCCCATGTCTTAATGTCGTCTGAGTGTGCGCGTGTAGCAGCTACTCGATCTGCGGGATCTACGTATGTGCTGACTGGCCGAGAAGGCTAGGCAACGGGTTAGTATAGTCAGATCTATACACCGGGGAAGGACGTGCCGAAGGTGGTATGACGATCTGCGATACTGCAGGCGGCGCTGGAGTCTCAACCGCAGCGGCCTCAGTTCCAACCTGTCATGCATGATCTATCATCGTCGTTCATAGGCACTTCGAGATATAGGGCGCACCTCCTCGACATAATTCCCAGGCACGTAGCCGACTTTGCTCTCGTCCGACTGCTTGCGAACCAAAATCCACTCGTCATCGTGGCCATAGACGTATAATATGTCGTTCTCCGATATAGATAGTTCTGTGCTTTGTGAGGCTTCATAGTCGTATAGTGACTTGACTACTCGGGTATGTTCGGCCTGGGAAGGTAATATCTAGACTACTCGTCCGGGCCAATGAACTAACCAACTGTACACACCTCTTCCACGTACGCCATGGGTACCAAACCTGAGTGACCATCCTCATCCTGCGAGTCTGGCTTAATCTTCACCCTCCACCAGCTGGCAGATGCACACTGAATGAAACGGCAGGAACAAGATAGCGTGGCGACTCACTCCTCGTCAGTGCGCTCAAGCAAGAGCAGCACCTGGCCCTCCTTAATAGAGAGCTCGTCCTCGGAGTCTGGCTGGGGTTCATAGTCGTAAGATGCCTTGAGAACGGCAAGATAGGTTTCTGCGTCTGCCATGCAGGTAGGGTGGAGGGCGGGCTAAGCTGAAATGCAATGGCATACTCGAGCAGTCGCGTTACCGCCAGTGACATCGGTCACCGGGGGTCACCAGGTACCCCGGACTGCCCGCCATGTGCCCCGCCCCTCCAGACACCCCGATCTCTACTTTTCAATTTGTGTGGCTGCGACGATATGTACATACAGTGTACATCTCGTACTGAGACCCAAGCTAGTTGCTACACGATAATCTCACGCAGAGATATGGATCGCATGAGTTGTGTATTTCCACTGTTCCGATCCGACGACCTAACGAGTAGGAATGAGCGGGAGCAATGAATCCCTGAGCAGTACGGCGCTGCCCGACAAGGAAAACTTGATGTACGGCCCGAGTCGATTGCAGCACTTGGCTGCTACTCGCCATCTCCTCCCTCGCGCTGTTGACTTCCTAGAATCATATCTCACTTGTACACTGACCATCGTTCGTCTGTTACGACAAATTTAGGATCTGTAGCCCTAGACATGAGCAAGCTTAACGCGAACGCATTCTCTTTCGTGCCGGGGCAGACTTTCCGTCTACCTCAGCAGGGCTCTCAACCATCCCAGCCTCCCCCCGCGCCCATCGAGCGGCCCACGCCAACTGAGGCACCTCCGCCTCCGCCCACCATCTCACTGAACATTGGCGGCTCGAAGCCTGCACCCCCGGCCGCATCTCAGCCTCCGCCACCACCTGCAGCCTCCAAGCCTGCCGCACCTGCGTCCTCAGTACCTGCATCTGTGAAAGCTTCCGCGCCAGCCAAAGCTGCGTCTCAGTCCGGTTCCAGATCAGCTTCGCCTGCTCCTGGTGCTACACCATCCAAAACATTCTCACTTGAGAAGGCGAAGAACGACACTGCCGCGATCGCCCAGGAGGTGCGAAACGTTGCTGATGAATCAACTCTCCACGACCTCTTCGGAAGCGGTGCGTCCTAGGCTACACCAGATGAGATTGCCTCTGATATCTGTCGATCAGTCAAGGAGCACTTGAACATCGTCTTCATCGGTCATGTCGATGCCGGGAAGAGCACCATGGGTGGCAACCTTCTCTATCTGACAGGAATGGTGGATAAGCGGACGATGGAAAAGTATGAGCGCGAGGCCAAGGAGGCCGGCCGTGACTCTTGGTACCTTTCGTGGGCCCTCGACTCGACTCCGCAGGAGCGTGCTAAGGGCAAGACGGTCGAAGTCGGCCGTGCCTACTTCGAGACGCCTACGCGACGGTATACAATCCTGGATGCACCCGGTCACAAGACGTTCGTGCCTTCCATGATTTCCGGTGCAGCCCAAGCCGACGTCGCCATCCTTGTCATCTCCGCTCGCAAGGGTGAGTTCGAGACAGGATTTGAGAAGGGCGGGCAGACGCGTGAGCACATCATGCTGGTCAAGACGGCTGGAGTGTCCAAGGTCATTTGTGTCATCAACAAGATGGACGAATCGACGGTGGAATGGTCTAAGCAACGCTACGACGAGATCAAGGACAAACTTACGCCTTTCATCAAGGCTGCTGGCTTCAACCTCAAAACGGACGTCAGCTTCATCCCCGTCTCAGCGTACGCGGGACTTAACTTGAAGGACCGCATCCCTAAGGGTGTTGCCCCTTGGTATGAGTAAGTAATGTTTTTTGCGTATGCAGCATTCCCCGATCTGAGCTGCGAGCCAGTGGCCCCTCACTGTTGGAGCACCTCGACACGATGCCAATGGTTGACCGCAAGACCAACGGGCCACTCATGATGCCCATTTCTGAGAAGTACAAGGACATGGGCACGATCATCGTCGGAAAAATCGAAGCTGGACACATGCGCAAGGGCGACTCGCTCTTGCTCATGCCGAACAAGGATATCGTCGAGGTTGCGGGCATTTACAACGAGATGGAGGAAGAGGTCTCGACAGCGATCTGTGGAGATAATGTTCGCATCCGCGTGCGCGGCGTGGAGGACGACGACATCACTCCGGGTTTTGTGCTCACGAGCCTGAACAAGCCTGTACACGCCGTCAGGCAGTTCGAGGCACAGCTTGCCATCCTCGACCACAGGAACATCATTTGCGCGGGCTACTCGGCAGTCATGCATATACACACGCTCGCAGAGGAGGTCACACTTTCGGTATGTTGGTTGATATATTCATACCCTTCCGTCGCTGATACAGATCATCGCCGTAGGCACTTCTCCACTACTTCGACAAGGCGACCGGCCGTAAGTCACGGAAGCCGCCACAGTTTGCAAAGAGGGGTGAGCGCACAATGCAAGTTCGCTGCCGTCCGGTTGCTAATGGTCTGCGCGTCTTAAGGTCAGAAGGTCGTAGCCCTGATTGAGACGGCGCAGCCTGTCTGCGTGGAACGGTTCGTTGACTATCCCCAGCTTGGCCGGTTTACCTTGCGAGACGAAGGTCAGTACGCGTACGTTTTCTTTGTGCCTCACTATGACTCACATTCGGCTTGATACATAGGAAAGACAGTGGCTATTGGCAAGGTACGCATTTATGAACTCCCTGTCGAGGTGGACTAACCATCTCCGTGTAGATCACGAAATTGATCGAAGGGTTGCCGGAGGAAGTCGTGGATGGTATGGGCAATCTTACTGTCGCTGCTGCCTGAATGTAGCACTTGTTGATGAGCGCACAATTGTAATAATATGCTGCGATGGCGTGTCTCCAGTAGGAATCATCACAGCTCTGGACGACAATGCTGGTGTAGGACTTGCCTGGTGGTCAGATCAGTGATAGGCGGATGGCAACACACCTTCTCAACTTGCTAAAAATATATGGGATTGACCACCGCAGGGGTCGAACCTGCAATCTCCTGATTACACAATCGTAGTCAGACGCGATGCCATTTCGCCAGGCGGCCATGACCTCATTGCAGCTTTGCAAGTTCTAACCCTCAAGCTAACCACCTGGGCCTAGCCGAAGTCGATCACATCAGAACTGAGATCTACCCCGACCGTCACGCGTTCCTGACGCTCAACCAACAAGCACGTCGGCCATAGTACACCAACCATACATTGAAGTACTGATATCTCTTCCTTCGGGGACCTTGGAGTCTTCACAAGCTTACAAAGCTGCTCACTATGGCAAGCCTCGATATTCACAGTCTACTGCGTGCAGGTGGTGCACTGCTGGGCTCATCACCGTCGGACGCAGCGTCCAATGTTGCGGACGTTCTCAGTCAGCGGCTGATGCAGTACTACTCGATTATAGGAACTGAGTGTCCGGCGATGGACGGGACGCTTGAGGGCCTGCAGCTCAGGACTGCGATGGAAGCTTTGTACGTCCTGGAATGTTTACAGCGCGAGTGGAGTCGAGACGACGCTGCCTCTCACCTGCAGGAAGGCCCTTCGACCGCGGGCGTAGGCTCGCGGGACCTGGCCCAGATACGCACCCTCATCTCGATAGTTCTCAAATGGGGAGTAGAGCCGCAGCTGGGCCGTGTCGCCAATGCCATCCCGACGACGACGCTGCCAATGTCACAGATCCATGCAGGAGCGAAAATTATTGACCTGACCGGTGTCCCAGATGATTACGAGGGACTCTCGGGAACTGTTGTACGACTTCTGCGGTTGCCAATGTGGCAGGGTACCCACAACATGTTGCTGCAGACAGCCGTCACCTCGACGCTACTCAATAAGTACCTCGCAGACCTGCTCAAGCCATCCCTCGTGCTTGGATGGCTGCCAAAGAATTTAACGACAGACTCCATCAAGCCAATCGATTCCATCAGGCCGTCAGTCATGCAGCTTCTCTCCATGTACGTTTGCCTTCCATCGTGCAAACATACAAACGCTAATGTCTATCAGCTTACCTGCAGATCAAACCATAGCAGCTTTTGGCAGCATACTGTCGGATAACGCGCTCGCCCTTCCGTATGTGCGGAAGTCGTGTGGTTTTCTCTTGAGCCGCCAGCTGCTCCGCCCCGAGGGCGTAGCGGGTTTACTCGCGGCGATCTTCGGCGAAGAGGATGTCTCTGGCGAGGACGCGCCCCTTGAGAAGCTGGAACACGTCGCACGCCTTCTGGGCACTGTCCCCGCAAGTATGACAGCCGAGGTATGCGTCCCGTATATTAAGACTGTGTGACGCTCCTGATATCAAGGACCCATTATAGGACTACTATGGACTCATCATCCCTCGGCTGTTCGCCATCCTCTCTACAGACGCGAAGAGAGTTCCTCCAGTGTACAGGCGCTCTATCGCGTTCGCCCTATCTCGTATGCTCTCTTCCGAAGAAAACAGGCAGGCAGGCGTTGCCTGCAATATCTTGCTGGCTCGGCTACACCGACCTTTCCTAACGGCGACTCCCAACACCCTCGTCGACGACCGTGAGGAAGGCACAACCCAACCTCCAAGCGTTGTGCCTGAACTCGCACCCTCGGCGACCCTCAACGTCCTTCAAACGTTGCTGACCAACGCCGACCCCTCGCCAACGTTCGTCTCCAGTCTGCTGACGCCTATCGTTCCCGCGTTGTACGGCATTCTTTCTCATCTGGAGGGAACTAAAACATCAGACCCTGCTCTGAAGGATTCTGTCCGTGGATTCCTGGTGACCTGGGGCCGGGTTGTTACCGCTCGCGAGGGCATCGACGCGCTATGGGAGGTAGTGTTAGGCGAAGGGGGCGAATGGAAAGCCGATGTGACGGGTAACCTTGTCAGAACGGAACGGTACGCGAAGCAGTCTAGTTTGTGGCTCCCCGGCGAACTGACGAGCCCACTGAGCAGCGTCGAGCGCACATCTGCACTTTCGCTGTTCACCCCTGGGGATCTCAAGCGTGCGGAGGAGTCCGGAGAACTCGACGCGGACGCGAACCTGTTTGACCTGCGCCCGGACCCTGCCCAGTTCGTTCGCTACCTGAAGTCGATTGATCGGCCCGACGTCTCCTCGGAACTGTTCGTCAAGCTTCTCGAGGCGTACCGGGAGACGAAGGCACAAACCGAGGCCGACCCGCTGCGGTACGTGCATCTGCATTGTCCGCATTTACGACGGTCAACTCACGTGTGCTCGTTAGGACTCTGTTGTACCTTCAACTCATTCTTCAGATGCAGACCCAGCTTGCGACGGACGATTCCGCCTCGAGCATCCTCAACAAGCCTGATCACATACTATCGTTCATCAAGCACGCGCTCGAGTCTGCGGCATCGACTGCGGCTCCGACGCCAAAGAAAGCAAGACGGTCAGATGGCAAAGGGTTGCATCTGGAAGACTTGCGCATCGTAGAAGAAGACGAAGCGCCTGAAGTAGATGAAGGCGACAGTGACGATGAGGGACCTGAACCAAGCGCGTCGGGCGACGATGAGATGGTCGCTACATCGCTGAATCTACTTCTATCCATTCTCGAAGGTGTGCTTCCGCTCCCGCTCCTCTCCTGCTACGGCGCACAGTTTGTAACCTCGCATACTCTCCATAGTACACCCGGACTTGTCCGCAAGGACCGCCCCAATTCTCAACGACATATTCTCGTTGCTCGAGCCTCTCTCGAAGGACTCGTCGGATACCATTCGGCCGCTGGCTCGGGAGGCTCGCATGGTCATGACCGCTCGTCTCGCGTCCACCTCCGCGCCCGGCGGCTCTCGGAAGGCCAAGAAGTCCAAGGGCGACGAAGAGACTCCGCAAGAGACGTACCAGAAGGCACTGAAGCTACTGCAAGATCCGCTGCTGCCCGTGCGCGCCCATGGCCTGCTCCTCCTGCGGAACCTCGTCTCCGCCCGCCGAGCCGCGCGCGAGCGCGGGACGACACACCTGGAGGAGCCAGCGCTGGACCGTGCGCTCGTGCCGGGGATACTCAGCATATTCCTGCAGAGCGTGCAGGACGACGACAGCTACATGTACCTCAACGCGGTGCAAGGGCTGTCCGCGATGGTCGACGGGTACGGGAAGGAGGTGCTCCGCGGGCTCGTGCGCACGTACTGCGAGGGAGCCGACGGCGCCGGGAAGGGCGGCCTGGTGACGACGCAGGAGGTGGACATGCGCACGAGGGTGGGGGAGGCGCTTGGGCAGGTCGTTAAGCGGTGTGGAGATGCGCTGCCTGCGTACGGTGCGTCTTAGCCTCGTATGTCAGGGTGCATATGATGCTCATGGCGTACAGCTGAAATTTTGGTGCCTCCGCTGTTCAGCGTGGTGCGGACGTCAGACCTGCCGACGACGCTCCGGACTTCAGCGCTCTCGCTCCTCGCTCAGTGCGCGAAGACGAATTCATTGGCGTTGCTCCCGTACGCCGCGGACCTCTCGGAGGCCATGGTCGATCTGCTACAAGTGGAGACCGTGCCTGCGGCGCAACGACGGCGCCCTCCACGCAAGGGGGGAGAAGCACCCAATTCAGAACGCCAGGGCAGCGATACGGATGACAAGCAGGAGAATGCAGCACCACCGCCACCATCTATTCCTGATACGATGGACGCCCAACCGACGTCAAGGAATTCCAAGTTCCCACCACTGAGGCGCGCCGCGCTGCACTTCCTCGCGTTGCTCATCCAGGCATGTGCCGAGCGATTGTACGACTCCGATGCGGCTGGTGCGTTGACGTTCCCGACGAGACTCGTGCGACGGGCAAAGACGACACTTGGGTACGTTGCGGCAACGGACGAGGACGCAGTGGTGCGCGTGATGGCGCGCGAGGCGTTGGAAGGGCTGGATCAGCTGGCGCAGGCGACGGTTGGTGTGTGAGTAGCACTTGATGCGCAGTGCCAACAAAACAGACATATCATGTATCCCTGTCAGTGGGTCTATTGAATGTCGAGGCCTTATCTTGCTGGTGCTGCGTGGAGAAACGCGTGTACTCCTGGCATATCCCCCATGCAGGCACGGGTTATCTGCGAGTATGGTGCGTGCCTCGCACTGTGTAAGTATTGCGATCCACGTATGGCCAGTCGTGTTCGCAGCACTCTGCTTGGCGGCACGGTAGGCGGGAGGCGGCGGGCGAGGGGTCGTGTGAGGTGCGCGTGCGATAAATACGATCGAAAAATAAACTGGGACGGGATCCCGATCGTGAATTTGAGTGGGTGCCTGGCGCCGGGCACAGGATCCGGAGACCGAGGCACGCGTCGGGGCCAATGGGAGGCCGCAGATCGCGAGCGCCAAGGGCGGGCGGCCCAGAAAGGAGCGCGAGGGGAGCATCAGCATGATACCGCCGCCGGCCACATGCACCTGCCGCCAGCCCCAGTCCAGTGCGATAGATAAGCCCCTCCCCGCCACAGCCATAATGCTTTCCTCTCCTCGCCAGACGGCCGCGCGCCTAGAGGCTTCCTCCTCCCGCCATGAGCGAGTCCATCGAGAAGCAGGTCTCCGACTCCGCCTCCCACGACACCAAGAACAGGGACGTCGAGCACTAGTATGTCCCCCCTCCCTCGCTGCCGACGGAAAATTTCCAGCTCATTTCTCTCTCACTGCCATCTCCCCAGTGTTGAGCCTGTAAGTGCTTCGGACGCCGCAGTCCCTCGGAGCAAGTTCAAGAAGCTCTGGGCAATCGTCGACAAGCTCGACGCGTATGGAGTCGAGGCGCAGGGTATCGAGCGGGTCCCGCCCGATGCGCGGCCGCAGACGTGTGCGTTTGCCTCTCATGTGCATCCCCGCAACGAGTTGACCGCTGCGGCTCACAGCTGCTCTGGCGCCCTTTTGGCTATGGCTCGCCGCCAACATGACCGTGAGTCGCTCCCGCACTGGCTGTATGCGCGCGCAAGCTCAGAGAATCGCAGACGTCGACGTTCTCCCTCGGAACGCTCGCCAGTTCCATTTTCTACCTCGGCCTGCGCGATGCCTGCCTGGTCATCCTATTCTTCAACCTGCTTTGTACCATCCCTGTTGCCTATTTCTCCACATGGGGTCCTAAACTCGGATTACGACAACTCACACTCTCCAGGTTC